TGAATCGAATAGCGTAGCTAAAACAGTAAAACACCGCGGATATCACAGTTGCTCTTATGATAAAACGATTACTTTTTTTTCACTACTTGTTATTCGGGTCTGGTTTATACATTACCCTGTATAGGTTCCCAAGATAATAACAACCACAATCAGCTTTATCAATGCATATTCCACCTTCGTCTAAGACGAGACCTTCTTCACAGAAACAACCTTCAGTGCACCGCTCAGTACATGATCCAATGGGATAAGGATCCAAACAAGACGCAGGGCATTCTGGTCCACCAGGTGGACATTCGACCTCTGACAAAAAATAAACGAATAAGACCTAAGACAATGGCCACCGAGATCTCGTTTAGAGTGAGAGGGCCACGAGACTAGTTTTTGCCACTAAAATAGTATCCAGAGTTAGCGGGACCAGCGCAATACAAACGTGATCCTGATAATAGGATTGTGTTCAACTAATAGAAGCTGACATTTTTGGACTAACATTATGTAATTGAAACACAAAATATAAGTATTAGAGGGATTACAAAAGAGGCTATAGTTAATATGGGCAGATGATTTGCTGGAGCTGTTGGTAAATTTATGTAATTGATTTTGCTGTGACAATGTATACATGTAATGTATGAACAATTATGTGAATATGGTGTTGTGTGTTACAGGAAGTAGGTGATGTCTTACATCTTTTGGTTATGTCATTTGAATCAAGAGGGTTAAAGTACTTGATCGGAAAGAATGATTATATTTGTTTTTTGGCAGTGAATGGCTTATTTGTACTTGACTGTGACCCACCCACCACTCGATTGTAATTTGGCCAGCTGCTATTAGACATCACTCAGCATGACTAGTTGGAAGACAACCATGTAAAAATAGTGTGAATAAAATAAACGTCTGTAATGAACAAGGAAAAAATCAATATACAACAAGTTTACAAAAAAATTCGAGTAAGAATAAAGTAAAAAGTTGAACCAATAGGAGATACAGGTGATGGTTGAATTATCTCGCCTGGAAGAAAATAATAAAACAAGTGGTAAAGATTATATATTGTAATGAATGATTTGAGTAAGGTGTTGAGTAGAGGAATGTTCAATAGGAAGAACATTGTTGAAATGCTTTGGATATGATTGGACTTTCCATAAATTAAATCTTGAGGCACATTGTAAATAACTAGTGAGAGGATGCTGAAAGCACTACCGTGCATTCAAGCATCCTCTCAATGAAAACACAGGTTATGCACATTATAATGAGGTAAATTAGTGTTGTAAACAGAGTGTCATGATTAAATCTGGTATGATGTGCATGGAACGACTCATGGTGCAAAAGCAGATAAGTGTTGACTGAAGACTCAAATGATAGGTATCACCACCGACCAATTTGGTAGTAGTCATATTGCCGAAAATACTATATCTTGTTGTTTTCAATAAGTACATGTGTAGCAACAATAAACTGTACAAAACCAGTAGTTAACTGTTTACAAGACAGACCCATATCATGCAAAGTTACAGGGTGTTGTACAAATATACCCCCTTACTTTTAGGCTATTGTATGTTCATCCAACTGTCCATTCAGAATGAATAAGAAATAAAGTAGGTGCAAAGAGACTATA